AGAGGCGACAATATCGTCTTCAGTTTGCAGGAGATTCGCTCGACTGCATAAACTGGTGATTCGCGCGAATGATATTGTCGTCAGACCACCAATTGAACTGGACAGGTTGTAAATCGTCGAGTAGTTGAACAGCCTATTGATGTACCGGAATCATCTGTTAATTAACAGCCACGAGGAAACAATACTTCATAAAATGAAGTACGACATCGAAGTAGAACAACTACAATAGTTCAGATGTGTTACAATGTCAAGTCTAAATAACATCGTTCTTACGTATACTGACAGTTGCACTGAACGTTCGTTTAGGTATGATTAGCGTAACAGTTGGATGTGTGAATAAAAACATATACGAAAACTATGGTTGGGTTCGTGGGGAATTTTCGAGGACGTTTAGATATTTTCCAAACCCGTATGGCATGTAAATAAACCGAAAATAGAATTGAAATGACTGTCGTGTAATAAGGAAATCGAGCCATGATTTACCGTGTGAATTAATAGCAAATACAAAGGGTATAATAAACATTAATTAAAATGGTAACCACCAATGTAACTAAGGTTTAGAGGGTCCACGTAACGTGGCCGTTTCGTAAAAGGCTGATACAAAGAACTTATTACCTAGCGTTAAATGACATATTAAGTACGACAACGTGTGTACTTGGGACATGGACTAAGCGTGCTCGTGTACATGCAATATGTTTTACCACAGTATGTCGACTAACGAGTCATAAATGTACATGATTTCGACTAAAACTTGACGGCAGTGACAGAATATATGACTGGTTTACGTGAAAACAACTACGAAATGTTATCACGCATCATAAATATAGTGCGAAATAATCTAATGAAATTATGAAACTCGCCTGGGTTACTCTTGCCTCTAAGTAATGAAGATATGAAGTAGGCAGTAGTTTGAATCTGGATTGTGTACGAGGTACTGTTGATTAAATTTTTCGATTAACACAGCATTGTAGACTGAATCGGTATAAGTCCAGAATTAATTTAAGCCGAATACATAGCATTACTCTGACGAACAGTCTAAACGAGATCTAAGATCGCAGGAAATTTATAGTTCAAACTCACCGTGAATTTCTAGCATCCGTATCCTCTGTTTGGCCATGGAACTCAGCAATTGGAAATTAGGCAGGCAGTGGTAAAAAAAAGCAGAACATTCTAGTGGATAATGGTTAAGCAGAAAGATGAATTTATAGTCGATAGTTAATCTTGTCTTATTTATACCAGTGGATAAGGTACAAAGAGATATGCGTTCGTGTTGCCTTGTGGCTATACTCACGAGTGGTTGATATTTTAACAGACATATTACACAGGAGCATTTACATGCTGCTAATGCTTGTTAAAGAACCACGATAGCCGATTATAATCGTAGTTGATTGGTTAGTTCTGTCGATTGAACGAATTATCTAGGTTTAAATGCTAATCAACATTGACATGAAGCAACGAAAGTTCACAGTAACAGATTAACATAGGCGATGATAAAAATGAAAAAGAATAAGTATAGAGTACAATAATAAAGATTATAGTGATAGGTTGCGTTATTCGAAGTCTTGCTCACCAGTGTAGATCACCAACGTAGATGATCTATGTCGAAATGATTGGAGGCCGACTCGAGTTAGACGTGAATAGTGTGACGAACCAACTAACGTCGAAGTCACACCTCGTGGTCAGCACCTTACGTGGACTACCCCCATCGACGTAACAAGGTACTATAAATGCTTTGAAGACTGTAAAACACAAAGGACGTTATTACAGAAATATATTAATTAAAGTAGATACAAGCGAAAGTAAGACCACTGCCGCATGGGCCAGTCCATGGCGTATGATTAACTAATGCGCGTTTCTTGTACATGACCTTGGCAGGGAGCGATGATCTGTTCGACATTCAGTGATCCAACTGCCGGATGATTTGGCTAGGGCTCAGTGACATTTCACTGGCCCTACAAGGACATTGATTCTAGAACATGTCTCTCATGGATGCGATCACGTTCAACGAACTACCGTCAGCTATCTGTTCAAAATCCACATAATTATCTGTATTTCTGTGTATTAAATGTAATTTTGATAACACTTCGTATGTATTATTAGTACTACTAAATCTTATCATGGTTAAGCAATAACAAGGTTGATAAAAGCTCCCTCTAACTAAATAAACCGAACTAAACTTAATAAACGAACTGAAACGCTAGTTAGAATTCTTGCTCTACAAGACTATACTTCTGTTCCTTCAGTTAACCTATCAATACAAATGTAATGGAAAATCAGCATGCCAATACGAATATTAAAATTGGCTTTCTAATTACGACCAAATAAAACACTGTTATCAGCATCTCTTCGCAATATTGATTGTTCTCCTAAGAAGAGGCACACATCCCACATGCAACTTGCAACTAGCGCTGAGTATAGTGAGCCATGACGAGCCTGGTATTATACTTATGTGCTTGTCTAGTACTTCTTGATTCACTTGAGTTATTTCTAGGATTCTTAGTTCGTACTATAATTCAAATACTCCTAATTACTACAACTAAATACACTGTCTTCCAATGTTATCGCACTAATAGGGCTACGTGAGTAGATCACACATCATCCACCTTCCTTATGGTGTCGGTTAAAAGATGAGGTGTGTATTCATCTGTACTTAGTTCTTCATCTTGTATTGTAGACGGGCACCACGTTTTCGTTATTAGGACAATTTCTGGCTAGGTAATTGAAAGAACCATCCTAGGTTCTATTGTTTTATTACTTACCCGACGTTTCCAACGGTCTGATTTAGTCAGAGAAACCTCTTGATTCATTAAGCAAACATTACGAACCCGTGAGCTCTTTATATTGTGAAAAATCTTCATTTTATTTAGGTTTTTGAGTTAGCTTACTTTTAGGACATATTGTACGGAAATTATTATGGTAACCAGATTACCTTGACATTTAACTCCGGAAGTTCATATATTATCCATAACTAATCACTCGTATATTTACGTTTTTAAGCATCTTACATGTCCCCTTAGCCATATAACGTGTACTTGATCAAATGTCATTTTTCTACTAATGCTTATCAACACAAACCACTTGATGCAGTAACCTGATGTTGATCGACTCCTAGTAAGAGTGTACATGAGTAAACGAGATAGGCAATATAAAAAATTATGCATGACAACTTTTGGTGGAGTTTTGTTCTCTGAGCTGGATGGTTTGGTCGTGAAGCTTTCGTCGTTCTTCTGAACGACATCATCAGCACAAACTTCTGAAGTTTGTGCTGATGATGTCGTTCAGAAGAACGACGAAAGCTTCACGACCAAACCATCCAGCTCAGAGAACAAAACTCCACCAAAATCATCCACCTGAGCTACAAATCTTCTCCACCATCTCAATATGCATGACAACGTCACAAAGTACTCACGATCTTGATATCAGCGGCATACAACCATATTCAAGTTTTTTCGTGTAAACTGAAAAGCAAAGTGTAGTTCAAAGCCAAAAGTCACAATAAGACTGACTATGAACTGTGTTGGGACTATTTTTAGGGGAATGGAGAAACCCGTGAGTTATGTTCTTCTGAATGAACTAGTTGGTCAGTACCACTCACATATTGTTTGTTTCAATCTGACGATTAAGTTGATTGAAGAATTAGCTGAGATTCAGCACACCAGTGGATGGTCAAAACAGTTGTTGAGGCAGGACGAAGAACACAGCAGGACAATGTATGCCTATTTATTAAGAAACAATGATTAACTGCAAACCCAAAATAAATAGTTCATGACCAGATAGAAAAGTGAGATCAGAAATAGGTGAGCTAAATGGAAGTCTATGAAATTAGACCGGTATTAACTTCACTTTACCTCCGTTATATATTTAATCTGACTCTGCCAACATTTCAATATTGTTCAGCTATATTGATGTTGTGGAGGTTAGACTTAATGGATTTAATGAGGTCATACAAAGTTCGACTACATCAATGGACCAACTTCATTGGTGCCTGTAATATATTGAATGATCTGCAGTTACTACCACTGACTGATCTTAGTTAAACAATTGTTCACCATCGGAAAGCATTGAATAACTGCTTCCCTGCAGCATGGGACTCCATATTGTTGGGCACTAATTACCCAGTCGTGACTAAATGCAAGACCTTCATTTTTAGATGAGAGCGTTTAACTTTTGGACTATCAAGCCGGTATCCATTAGTTCACAAGTTTAACTTTTATACCTTCTCACGGCCCATGGATACTTTTCGCCATCACTAGTGGGTTACGGGCTCATATATATCCTCCTAAAATGTAATAACCTGACTGCAGAACTATATAATACTGCTTTGAAATTTACCTAAGACGTCATTTCGAAAAAATCTCTCATTGTGTGATCTCACATTAAGAGGTATATTCCCGTCCTTTTAAAGTGTTCGTTTATGTACCAAATTGCACTGAAGTAGATATCCGTTTAGGATAAAAAATGTATAAGTACTAAGAAAATCGGTGCAAATCTCTTGTGAGCAAAACCGCCAAACTGTCGAACTCGTCATCAGATGTGACAGTAACAAAACCTTTTATAGACTCTCCTAAAAGAATACCCTGCTCCTACTAAAATTTTGTAGGCATCAGGGTGATAGCAGTATGTGATGCTCTACTATCACTTCCACCATTCGTTACTAACCAGTTTTATCCTACAGGCTCAAAAGAAACACGAGAAGAATCATAACTTTAGATTAATTAAAACTCTCCTGCTTCCCAGATATACATGTCAAGGAACAAATAGCACGCTCATTCTTCCAAACAATGTTGGTATTTGGAAATCTTAGTCGTATGTCCAACCCCGATGATTGTGGTTGCACACAACAGAATAGTTCCATTATGGAATAAGACAACTGTCCAAGGCTTTCTGGGTTTCAGCGGTATTCTAAGAACGATCAGTTCGTGATGTAAACTATGAATTCCACTATCCCCATAGACTGACTACTAAATTTTGTGGCGGGTAGTACGTCATTCGAGGTCATTATGTCCAATGTAAAACCGAAGAGTGTGTCAGATATATTTTGTGATGCACATGCTTTGCATGTAGTTGACACAAGCAGAGCCAAAGACGGAGTGTGGTTAGTCAAAGTTCCAAAATATTTAGCTGAACTTTGGCATAATGCTGGCCCTGATGGTGTAGTTGGCAAAGTTGTGATCGCAAGTTCAACTAGTGCATCTCAGAATGGCAACAAAGGCCCAGGGTCACAAGTCACTCTTGTTACTGATTCAGAACTATTAAATCAAGTCGGAGAGTCCGGAAATCTGATACCAAAGGTAGGTAGTACGTTTTATACAAAACCACACGTTAAAATTGAAAGGTTGTGTGTAATTTACTGTTTCTTCATTGTACCACTAAAAATCCGTTCAAAACAGTCCCTGAAACATCAGTCTTGATTCCTTTGTTCTTCCACATCATACAATGAACTTCGAATATCGTATTTACGCCGAATCACCTCATTTTAGTCTAAACAGAAACCGTTCACGCACATTTCTATGCTTGTAGCTCTAAATTTCTTCTGCGGTCGCCTTTATTTCTATTGCAAAACACGTTCAGAACAGTAGTAAAAGGTTGTCATTTTCAAATTAGTACTTACATCTTTTGTTTTCGTTCAACGACGCTTTTGTAATTTATCTCATGTCGTGAAAGTCACCTTGCGTCGCGATATCAGTGCGCCTAATGAATATGAAGAGCAAAGAACTTTTAATTCGTAAGCCTGCACTCCTTAAATGCCAACTAGTGTTAAGTGGTTGGCAACGTCAGGTTTCATGAGTCCAACAGCGTATGCGAGCTTTATTAGTATCATCCACCAGTTACGTCACCATGCACATCTGGAATGTAATGTGATAATCCGATAAACATGATAGCCCTTCAAATTTGTTTCTCATATTTCCTTGTTGAAGAGATGCATCTAACGTCCACAGTTCCTCTTCAGATAACAAACGGAACTGTACACTTGAAAGTCCAATGTTAAGTTTCGTGGATAATCACATCCATCAGCTTAGACACTAGCTGCATAATGTTTTCACACTAGTCTGATATTCCTGATAATATGTCCTGCAGAACAGCATGTAGTTTTCTGAATGCTCAACATTAACTTAAATCCCAAATGTGACATACTCAGCCATCAACCCACTGCCAACACGCTTTGAAATGGACGTTGAGGACGACGTTTCTAATTGTTAAAAACTTGTTTATTAACATTATAAACAAAACACCCTTACTTTTTGATTAGTGGCACTGTAGTGTTTAGTAACCTAGACTATATTTCGAACGTGGCTGTTTCCAGCCTGCATTCCAGACACGTCCATATCAACGGAATTATACAAAAACCCTTGTTTCCGTTTCAATGCCTCCACGAAAAATTAGTGCGATAACTAATAACCTCTTAGGCTTCTCTATGTTTAGTGCCTAGGTGTTTACGGAATAAAACGAGTCCTTCTCAGTTTGCTTTTTTTTTGGAGGAAACGAATGCCTCTGTATATGTAACTCACTATAGCAGTTGATAAACTTGCGCTTGATGATTGGCCAGTTGTCATTTGGTTGAGCACTTATCCAGGCGAATATCCATAAATTTGTTAAGATACAAGCGAAGTTCTTTTTTACTTGCTGCGATTGAAACCTTCGTGCTTGACGCACTGATGAGTACAAACTGACTAGTAGTACGCTTGACAGTATATAATAGTTAGGAATTTATTCAAAATGATAGTATTAACAAGAAATACAAAAACATATTCACATGAATGTATATAGCGACAGAACGATTACTACATTATTAAAGCAGTTTACGGAAATACACTTACAGTATACATCGTTAGTGAAAACCCATATGTGCTCATGACTAACTTCCGAGCACATAAATATATCCATGCTACTAGAAGAGAATGCTTCCGGAAAATAATCTCGTGAGTCAGTGAGTTCTAAATTTAATTAGTCTATTTTCCCCTATGTCAATGATTAGCCCAGATTTATTGTGTGTTGTTATTACGTAATCCGACTTAAGTGATTTTAGTGTTCTTAGGCATAACTATTCATTTCTTGTGATCGTACTTGACGGATGTGTCTATATTAGTTCCCGACATGCTAGCTCGAGGTCTACCGAAGAAAGATATATTTTCCTCACAACGCTGAGCTGCTTGCTTTGTTATAGCGTAAACACTATGCACTGATTTCTTAATCTACCTCATATAACGAATCCCAAGTCCCATGCTAACGAACGTCATCAGGAAGGTACTTTAACAAATGCGCATTATAAATTAAGGGTTCCGGTCCGCAACACCATATTATGTGAGAAACTTCATTAACTCATTTCTAACTGAATCCGTTGTCATGATGCACTAACATATATCGTTGATAGTAAACATTTAAAATTTAATCAAGATGGTAGTGGTAGAAAATTTTTAAGAATTATGGAGCCAAAATAGAGAAGGAATAATGAAAATTCTATCGTTTTCCATACGGAAATGAAGTCTAATGTTTACGTTTCAAATTTAATGGAGCACTTTCAACACAGCTCGAGGTTAATTTATTTATACCCGTGATTATAGATTTGTTCATGTTTCTAAGTCTGTTGTAAAATAAACCTATCCATAGATTGATTAGTTTTCTCATCACTCCCAACTACACTATGTGTATTAGGTCTAGAAAGAATGTTTTTAATTCATATTAGCTGGAAGTGTCTAAAAACCAGAAAGTCCTTGATGGTTAATTGGTTGAATCTGTTGACGCGAATTGTCATCACTTCGCTTGAAAACGTCCATCTTTCGAGGTGACGACCTACAACATACATATCACAGCCTGATTTTCTATTGTGGTTAACTGTGCATCTAACATCTGAGTAAACAGGTGCGTCACACATAACAATTACTAGTTTAATAGTTATACATTTGTTGAACTTAACACTGTATACCCCCAGGTCGCCCATTTCTTTTATTTCAAAAATGTTGTCAGCAGATATGATCTATATTAAGACCGGTCGTTGCCCTTAGGTTTAGTGATGTGTTCATGGTAGATGCTTATGGAGGGAATATTAAGCCGGCCAAATCTTAAAAAAATTTCTGTTGACACCATCTCTGAAATAAAAGAAATAAGCGAACTTTCATCATAAAGCTTGAAGTTTCCAGCTACTTCACACTATTTGGCATTTAAGAAGTGCAGGCTTACGAATTAAAAGTTCTTTCCCCTTCGTAATCATTAGGCGCACTGACATCGCGACGCAAGGGGACTTTCACGACATGAGATAAACTACAAAAGCGTCGTTGGACGAAAACAAAAGATGTAAGTACTAGTTTGGAATGATAACGGTTCATTGCTGTTTTACAGGTAAAGTGTTCAGTGTTGACGAACATTACCATAAATCCGACCTTTTTGACAGTTGTTTAAAAAACATGTCAATTAAACACTTAACAGTAAAGACGCATTCTTAACAAACAACTCATTAGCTATTACCTGTAACTGTCTTTGGCAGATCATCGTAAAGGACAGCGGAACTTCGCAGTTACAATCAAAGTCTGTGACGGACATCTGTCTGTCATTAATCCTTTTAAACGATGATGTTATTTCCTGCCAATGAATATCCTCAACTATGTGTCGTTTTTTAATCCAGTCGACTATGTCTAAACGTTTTTTCACAATGGGAATTAAGGGGACCACATGAGACATTTGGGGCTACAAGCATAGAATTGTGCGTGAACTCTACCTGAACGGATGTGATAAGGAGAGAATTCGGCGCACATTTCAATGAAAAGTAGATAATTGGCGGTAATAAAAATATACAGCAATGAAAGAGGGGGTGTCGTACTATTTTCATACACGAGTCGAAAAATAAGACTAGCGCTTTTTACCGCTTATTTTCCTGCTGAATATCCCCTTTGTTTCTCTTTTCAGTTGCTTAGGTCACTCCAAGCCCTTGTCATCAAAAACGTTGCAGTGTATTAATCCATGATCTTAATTTAATGAAAAGTATCTGAGTTACTACAAAACCTTTCTGTACAGTGATCAGTCTTACGGGTTTCTTTGACAGATGTACTTATGTTCTTAATAATCCCAGGCTTTATCTGAATAAATATTCCGTCCGGTTTCGATGATTGAGTGACCAATTTTTTCAAATACTAAACCAATGTTGTTTTACTTAAGGCAATTGAACTAGTTCTCTCCACTCAAATGATTGTTTCTTCGATTCATTCAGAAGCACTTGTGACTAAAACTGTGCCACGTGCTCTACATGCAGCAGATTTTTGTGTCTCCCAATTTTCAATAGAAAAATCACTTATATCAGTTGTTTTTTTTGTATAAATCACTCCCATTTCTATGGGTCTTGTTTTATGTTGATCGTATGTAAATTTCTGGTATTACACATTAAGAGGATGATAACCTCTCATCTAGGTTCGGAAAGTTTCTTCTAAAAACAGCTTCGTAGCACTAGAAAAAGCTAATCTACTTTCAAAATCCAATTCATGCCAAGGTTAACAGGGGACCATACCTAACTTCACCTATAGTTCTCAACAGTGGAGAACAGTTTCACACCAGAATTGTTTTGTGCGAGACTGATTTGTTAAAATCAAGTAGACGGACTATTTTCACTCGCAGGTTCTTAATAAGTGATTAACATTGAATCCACAGGCCACTTAATTTGCAGATGGAGCAACACGTTAATCGGTTTCAGCAATTTTATATTTCCCCGATTTTAGGGGTTTCTAGTTATCTATATCATTACAGAAATCTCCTTGCTAGAAAAAAACGTTTGACCTTACTGGGAATATTGTTATCATAATTGGTAAAGTTCGATAATATTTTGTCTCTATAAGAAGTACTGAATAAGAATTCTATGGTTGGTGATATTTAGAAAAGTATCTCTAACCAAACTTCTGACCTTTTACGTGTAAGTCTCTACATTTTATCTGGGTGATGCGCTTACATACTTTTGTATTCACTTTATTTGATCTTGATACCATCACATTGTAATTATTACTTACACCAACCAAGTAAATCTATGTTTGATTAGTGAATGAAGTCTTATTTATACTTTCAGGAACATCAGTTTCTGATTCAAACTTCTGCATCATCAAATAGTACACCTGTGACTGCTCGCCCAGGTCAAACTACTCCAAGTTCGACAGTTCAAAGGCGTCCTGGGACTATATCTGGACAAGAACTCATAATTTTATGTGAAGACGACCTCGGATGTGCTCAAACCAACTCGTTTCCATCTTCGACGACCAACACAACTTCAATTTCCTCTGCAGCCCCACATTCTCCATTCTCAAATAAACCGTACGCTCGTTACTCTCGGCGACTATCTTTGTTTGGTCGTGTTAATAGTAGAGCTGAATGCAGACCACCACCCAATACAAGATATATGATGCTCAAAGCTCAACAGGTAAAAATCTTTGATTTTATCTAGAGGCTTATGTAGGTTCATAGAATATTTCCTAATCTTGAATGTCCTATTTTGTACCCATTCTAGTTCTAGAAATACTCAACCCTCACTCTTGTCCTAGTTTTATATTCCTTTTATTTCCTCAAGCTCAAAGCAAAGAATCGACCGCGACATGCAGTCTGTCTCCTTTATGAACCAGTAAGAAATTACAAACCAGTTTCCAATCATGTCAACAATGTAAGTATATTTTCTTTATTTCATTCATGTTACCGTCCATTTTCTTTGCAACCTACTATTCATTGTTGAAACAAAGTATTATTATGGTATAATGATTATATATATATTGAACTCGAATATTATCTCAACCTAACATAGATATAACAACGGTAGTTTTGCGATGTCAGTGTTACGTTTTCCTTCCATTATTCTCGTAAACAGGTAGTGTAGTTTAACCGACACTTAGCAAAATTTTCAGATTCATAACCGCTGACTTAATTTCTCACTGGTATCCATAATAACTTACAAATTTGTTGATTTCATGTTTGAATTCCATCCGCTACTTAGTTTATACTATGGTGCTTCCAATTTAGACTTAGGACTGATACGCATAGCTCGTGAAATATATACACTTCAGTTTATGTGACGACTAGAAACAAGACTGATTCGTGGGGGTTGTGACTTGGCCTAAATGCTAATGGCTGCTGCTGGTATGACTGGTTAGTAAGTGTCACCTCACTATTTCACGTAACAAGTTGATAAACCATAGATAACAGCTTGTTTTATGTGACAAATCCACTTTTACCCTGATTAATCAAAGGAATAGTCTTTTTAGACTTGTCTACTCTGTTATAGATTGCTGACCTTATACACTATAATTTTGTCCACCTGAAATCTCACTGGAAACTTTACATTATTAACCACCGTCTATAATATCAACAAATTTGTTTGCGTTTGTACATTAATGTATTTTAATCACTGCTAAGTTTCCGCTGACTGCTTTGCATTAAAATCATTAAATATTTGTTTTCTAGATCGAGTATGAAAATCGGAAAAAGGTTGAGGGTAAAAATCTTAGACGTGAAAAAGAAGACGTTTTGCAGGATTTGTTCAAAGCTTTCGAAAGACACCAATATTACTCTATTAAAGATTTGGTTGTACTTACTAAGCAACCATTGGTAAGCATCTACATAATTTACTCTCTATATCTTTGTTAGTTTCAGTTAGTTTTAATCATAATCCTGATCAAATTCGAAATACGTTGATACCGTAGAATCTACTAACACGTATCACGTTCGATGATTGGTCTTATATGTCTCATCGTCGTATACTTATAACTAGTCAAAATCCTCAGTAATTATTGGTTAAAACTGTGTTTATTAAATCCATTATTTTTAGATGCTAGATTAATTCTGTCAATTTATCGTACATATAATCACTGATATGTTTTCCACCCTTAACCTTCTTTTGTTTATCTTGCGTTTACAAGCAAAAGCACCATCATAAAAATGAATTTCTATCGATAACCATGGCGGGATTCAAGAAAGGAAGAACAAGAAAACAATTAACAGCAGCCGAACAGCAATAGAGGAAGTCAAGGCGTAATCTGGACACACCAAAGCAAACAAGCAAGTGAAAAGAAGAATTAGAGCTGACAAACAGAAATACGCAGAAGACCTGGCAGCGACAGCGGAAGAAGTTACTAAGGGAGAGAATATGAGACAACCATATGACAAAACGAAGAAACGAGCAGGGAAATATAGTTAACCAGAGCAACCAGTCAAGGACAAAGAATGCAAACCAATCACTGAGGTTCAAAAACAGAAGAAAAGTTGGTAGAGCACTTTGAAGAACTCTTGAATAGTCCAGCCCCACTGAACCCACCGGACATCGAAGCATTACACACAAACCTTCCTATAGCTGTCAGTAACAACGATCAAAGAAATTAGGAGTGAAAAAGCAGCAGGACCTGACAACATACTAGCCGAAGCAGTGGAGTCATATCAGGCGGCCTGTTTGAATATCTGGGCCTACCTGTCTCTGGCATCAAGATATTTCAACAAGTTATCTGTTTTCTTGTTTTTCTTAACACATCATTATGCCCGTTAGTCTCATAACCTATTCAGGTGTGTTTGTGAAAAGTTTACTACATTTCGCTGTACAACTTACGAAAGAGCCTAATCAGAGACACCGTGGTTGCTGGCAATATGCTTCGAAAAGAATATACATGATTCAGATGTCGATTCCTGCTAACATCTAACTGGCGACCACTCAATATTTATCGCAAGGATCGGTCAAGAAATAAGAAAAGGGAACTTGTTGAAATACTGTGCTGAGAATTCTATACTGTACCAAAAATATAATATTGAATAAACGTTTCTAACAATGTATCGATAAACCGACTGAAGGATTCAGTAGGCATACAGCTCCGAGATCAACAGGCCGGATTCCGTAAGGGTCGGTTATGCACAAACCAAATCGCAACACCAGAGGTCATCGTTAAACAACCAGTTAAATAGAACTCGTCACTGTGCATCAACTTTCTTGACTTGAGTGCTGTTAGAGGTATGAGGGTGGTTATCACTTCCCGGTTGCCTACACCGTGGAAGGGTTCTTCTGGAAGTACCTGAAAAGGAAATTGGATTAGAGGTGGTCTTAGTGACCTGAGAGCGTGACTGCAGTGCCCAAGGGACAACTGCTTGAGGTCGGTCACACACGACCTTTTTATGGGTAATTTTTGTGTTAGCTCCGTACTTGTTGAGACCTTACCGCGGGGGATGGATATCCGTGGGATAAGGCAAGGTGTGCATTTTTGGGGTCGACCTTTTCTAACCACCCCTCCTTGTGGGAGGGGTGATTGATTGTCTGAAGGAAATTCCTTACTGTTATCACACCTCTGTACAGTCAGCAGTACGACTTCGCCTTCGGACCTTAGGTTTGTTGCTTTTAGTCTTACCGCTCTTCAACCGACCTGTCTGACATGGTAGGGCCTTGAGTAACGGTTGTTCCAGTCAGTATAGCTCGGTTGCTTCATCACGATAGGCAAGCCCGACCACCACGCCAAGGTAGCACCAATAGTCGGTGTCCATCTTGTTGTGTTAATGAGGTATGGCAACTTGGACCGATGCATATGTGTGCCTGGTCCTACGTTGTAGCTGACTGACTGACTTCCTTGACTGTGCAAAGGAGTTCGACAGTATGGATAGGAGAAACTTATGGAACCTTCTTCGACACATGTGTAACTGAGAAGATCGTCAAAATCATCTGAAATTCATTCTCTTCTGGTGGTTGACTGAACTATAAAGATCACATCTGAGGGTAAGCACGGAATATAAAGAACATCTTGCATGAAACTAGACGATTCGGACTTCTCAGATGACCTAGCCCTTCTATTCCATACACTCCAACAGATGCAGGTCAAGGCAACCAATGTAGCATATGCCTCTGCATCAGTAAATCTCAACGTACACAAGGGAAGAAGCAAGATTAACGTTAGATCCACATCTGATTGACGCAATGAAAATTGGAACATAAAGTAAGACTAACTCCACAACATAACGCCTTTGGAGTAGATGCAAGGTATTTAATTTGTTTTGAAATCTAGACCTGTCGTTCATGTACCCTCACATTAGCAAATATTAATCTGGAAATATTCACGTAACCAATTAATTTGTTTCGTTAGTTTTCTATAAACTAAAATATTTAGTCTCAGTTTTACATGTGTATGATATATCCTTTTTTTATTTTCAGGCCTATCTTACAGAGATACTAAAGGAAATTGCTATCTTCAACACTCACATTCCACACAAAAATATGTGGGAGCTGAAACCTGAATACAGACATTACACACAGCCTGAGAGTAAGACTGAATCTAACATGGAATAAACCATGTAAACATACACCAATTTGTAAATTAATAAAGGCGTTCCTTCCTGTAATTGTTTTTACCTTAACTCATTATTTAATTTGCATAACTCCCAAGTTTCAAGCATAATTGTTTCCACTGTTTAAATAATGCTTTAACTAACTGTTTATATCCATCTGCCTTCAAAATTTAATTTGAAAAGTTCTCGATTGCTTTATGTTTAAATCTGCCACCACAAAAGGTTGAGAATGTGTATAAGCTAACTTTCAGATGGCAGGTCGGGTTCCTTACTTCAATAACGTTCTCATTAACCACTAGACGGTACAACCCAAAGAAGTATTGCAACCAAATTTTGTATGAACTCAAAGCAAGAGTGCTCTCCGTTTGTTGGACAAAACTGTGTTCCGTGAACATATCTTAGAAAAAGGTTTTGTCGTTCTCAATGCATTATGCAAAACATCCAATAAAAAGCATGAAACCATCAACGCATTGCTGACAACCAGGAGTCAAATGAGTGTTCTTGTCCATCATCACCAGCCTTCCCTTAGCATTACACTCGATGACGCTCTAGAAGCAGTTTGTGGAAGTACTGTGGCACCACAGAACCTAGAAATGCCATAATCTGTGTTAGTGTATACCATAATACAACGTATAGGATTGTCACATACACAATCAGACGCTGATCAGGACTATTGTGACATCTGCTTCGAACTAAATTGTGAAGTACATCTACCATAAAGACGAAACTCTGCTATCATTTACCATCAGTGAACCATTGGGAATATGGTAAAAGAAGTTATGGGATTGCTGTGATGATAAAGTCCATCTCTTTAGAAAACTACAGGACAACACACACCGCCTTCGGTTACCTTTAGTACCGATACGAAGTTAGTTTCTCTGAAAGGTTAAGTAAATACATCTTATGTATGGCTTTTTAGCAGCTGCTATACCGAACAATGGTGGTAGTCAGAGTGAGACTATAACTAATTAACAAACCAATCGAATTTAAGATTGCGAGTTGTGGACATTGGCGCGGAATCCATCCATATCTGTTTGGCAGAATAGCATTTTGGCACCATGGCTGGTGTCAGTTCGTTATGTGAACCGTAACCCTATTACCGAACCTTACTCCCGATTCTGATTTTGCACTCATTTATAACCCTCTCTTACCTTGGTAATCTTGCAAAGGTTACTTGGGCATCGCTCGAAGGTTGTTCATGAATAACAATCTCGCCACACTCAATACCGGCACAGTCGATCCCTTGAGTTCACCCGTAGGTATCAAACGTTTCAATGACTCCAAATGCCAGATTGTTCGAAGCCAGAGTTAACAGCGGTCTTACCGCAGTCGCTCTGTGTATTTTACGTAAGCTGTACGACTTGATAGCTGATGATATTAGTGGAGTTAGTGTTGGCTGTTTTTACATCTTGTCTATATCCTTTAAAGGCTTTTCGCCGTACAACTGTGTTATATTTTTCATGAAAATATCTTGTTTTCTATACACATTTACTGGTCCCTGATTGTATTAAGTAATTCTTTACATTTAAAAGCGTTTTTCTGTGAAAAAATTTTATTTTTGGTAATTACAATTTATCGTCTGTTGGGTAAAGGAGATCTTGTACAGTTACAATAGTTATGATTAGTAGCATTTTTCTGTAAAGATGCTCAATACATAGTAATTTCATTGGAGTATAGCCTGTACCTTAACGTGCTGGCACAGTTCACTCGAGTAATTTATAGGAAAATCGGATAGATGCATAACTTTAACAGAATAAAGAAGGCGTAACATCTACAAAAGGTAACATAAGGTGTCCCGATTTGATGTGTTTATCTTTAATGAGAAAAACAATTTTCCAGCTTTGGGTTTCATTTTTGAACAAATCATAAATAAAAAACAATATCACATTTTGATTCCTGATGTATTTTGTCGCATAAATTATGCACTGGTTACTGAATATTTCTCATTCATGTATTGCACTTTACCGGGAATTCCGGTTTATTCAATTACCTAGAAGTGTGTGTACATAAACGCAGCAAAGTTGTAATGCAATAAGTAGGTAAGCCAATGGTTTTCTCGCACACAGCGATAAAATAAAAATGATATATATTGTTGATTGTCATCTGCAGTCATTTTTGGCGCTTTACAATTCGAAAGGAGTAGGTAATGAGCAAATATTAGCGCCTCCCAAGGCGAACTGATGCTCCGAACGAACTCCGAGAACTCCCAGCACTAAGTGGATTCCCATGGTTGTCTAGAAGACCAGTTGCGGTAGCTGGTCGTGCAGGTGGTATTGAAGTGCTCAAAAGGCTTCCTGTCGTTGTGGTATTGGTGGAGGATTGATCTAAATCTTGATCTTCTGTTTCCTGCTGCGAGTTGCTAGTAGTCCCGGGAACAGAGTAACTGACTAACGCACCACTAGCTGAACCTGAAACACAATTCGCTTTCCGCATGGCAATTTCCAGAAGTTCTGCATCACTTAAATTTCGGCTTGCGACTGAAAGTAGTGAGAGCATTTCCTCATGAATACGTGATTCTGGGAATTCTACCTGGATAAATGTGTAAAAACGAAAGCATCTGTGTAAATAAAAGCAAACTATACATGAATATAATTAAGATACACTACTTATTACGAAAAGTTAATAAATATGCAGTAAGAGATGGTTATTTAATAAACAGGTGTTAAAGGCTGTGGAATTTGGTATTTCTGACTGATTAGAGAAGTCTCGCCAAGTATAAATTACATATGCCAATTTCAACAACTAGTTCCTTTCACACCCTTTAAAGACGCTACATTTTTATGTTAAAATTCGTGCCAAAATCACTAGCGCTTGTGAAGCGCAGATTACGGAACTTGCTGTACTAATAATCTGATATATATAATGAACTAGATCGATTGACCTTTCCATCGTATTTACTGAAATAATTTTGTAAGTAAAGGACTGCTCGGTATTTAAGAATTTTCATTATGGATGCACAGAAACGATTTATTACCGCCAAGTTTGTATTTTACCAGCAATACTTAATAAAACACCATATAAAATACCAACTGCCTGGAGGTCAGTCAGCTACAACGTACGACCAGGCACATATATGCATCGATCCAAGTTGCCATACCTCATGGTGGTAATATATAAAAGAAAGATTGCATATAAGGATATAATGTACAGAGGAAAGAATTAGTTCGTACAAAGATATGAAGCGATTTTAATCTCTTAGTTTAAGGGAAGACAGAGAGTGTATAGACCGATGCCATTGTGATAGATTCTGAGCCATGTCACGCAGTCTCCAAACAATGGTTACAATAGTCATTCGGACCCCACCCAAGTAGCCTGCATCTACCAACATGGCTCAGACCGGAAGTTAGTGTCTTCAAGCACTGATGACACGTTTTGGTTTGGCTTCCCATAACTTTCTTCCAACCATCTCCAACACCGGTTAGCATTGCACGTCGTGGTAATTGGTGTCCAGGCATATGTAACACGTGGCCCAAGATATCAGGTTGCTTTTAGTTTAGAATCGTTCTTTTATAGCTGCTTGAGCACTTGGCGCATTTGTTATTAATTTCGGCATATTAGCAGTATAATTCATCGTCATTGTTTGATTTGCCATTTCTTATTATTGAAAAACCATAAGAATGAAAATGCAGTATGAGTTTATACTAACTTCTTTTTTTCAAATTAAAAGATGACCCGCTCTTTTTCATGAGCATGTAGATTTTCAAACACTCTTTTAAGCATCAGTCAGTCAGCTACAGCGTACGATCAGGCACATATATGCATCGGTCAAAGCTACCACACCTCATTAGCACAGCAGGATGACCACTGGATTCATACAAATAGTTAATTCACTGGTGGTAATATATAAAAGAAAGGTTGCATATATGAACATATAACAAGAAGAAGGAATTAGTTCGTAGAAAAAGATATGAAACGACTTCAATCCCATAGTTTAAGGGAAGAGAGAGAGTGTATACACCTACACCATTGTGATCGATTTTGATCTATGTCACCCAGTCTCCAACGCTAGTCAGCATTGTGAGTCGTGGTAATTGGTGTTCAGGCATACGTAACACGTGGCCCAACCATCTCAGTCGATGAAGACTTACAACCTCATCAACGATCGTTCCCCAATACCCTGCGTCTAACCTCACTATTACTTACCCGGTAATCCCAGCAGACGCCAGCAATATTTCTAAGACATCTGTGGTCAAATACTAGTAGCTTACGAGTATCTCCCACTCTTATTGGCCACGTTTCGCTGCCGTAAAGTAAGACAGAACGAACTGCCGCGCAGTATACTCTTCCTTTTATTCATAGACGGATATCTCGCTCCCGCCATAAGTGACGTAAGGTGGTAGAAGCCAAACGAGATTCCTGAGTTCGTGCTGAAATTTCGTCAGACACCAACCCATTTGGGCTGATCAGACTTCCAAGATAAGTGGAGTTATCAACGCGTTCGACTACTTCACTCCCTATCCATAGTTCAAGTGTTGACGCAGGCCAGTGTTGAAGCAACAGTCTGCATTTAGAAGGGGAAAAACGCATCCCAAACATTCTGGCATTGTTGATCAGTGTTACCAAAAGACTCTGCACTTTAATAGCATCTTTACCAAATAGGACTGTATCATCTGCATATTCTAAGTCGATAAGTGGACCTCCTGGAAGGAGATTAATACCCGAAAATTCAGTCGACAAGAACGTTGTTTTCATCAGTAGGTCTATGATGAAGTTAAACAAAAATGGAGAAAGTGGACAGCCTTGACGGACACCACTTGAGGTTGCAAAAGCAGATAACAGTTCTCCATAAGCTGTGACTCGACTGGTAGTGTTCGAGTTAAAAGCCTTCACAAGGTTCATGTACTTCCGAGGTACACCTTTCAATGACAGACACTACCACAAAATCTCGCAGTCTACCGAGTCAAATGCTGCTTTTAAATCAAGAAAGAGCACCATTGTCGGACGCCGATAAGCATGCCTGTGTTCTAGGACCTGACGAATGGTGAATATGTAGTCTATGCA